AATACATCTATTACACTTTTCTTTCAATGAGGAACCAGAAAACCATCCACACAAAAAGAGGAAAAAAATTATTCAGAATCCTTTTCCTGCCCATATTTACAGGGACTTTCTCTTATAATAGTTTACAGATTGAATTCCATTTTAAGCCTTGAGAATGCACACATTCTTCACATATAGAATATAATTGTCTTGGGACTTCCCTGGTGGCACAGTGGTTAAGAATCCACCTGCCAATGCAGGAGACACGGGTTCGAGCCCTGGTCCGGGAAGATCCCACATGCCACGGAGCAACTAAGCCCGTGCGCCACAACTACTGAGCCTGTGCTCTAGAGCCCGTGAGCCACAACTACTGAGCCCGCGTGCCACAACTACTGAAGCCCGCGCTCCTAGAGCCGGTGCTCCGCAACAAGAGAAGCCACCACAATGATAAGATCATGCATTGCAACGAAGACCCAACGCAGCCAAAAATAAAATAAAGAAATTAAAAGAAATTAAAGACTCAAAGGTTAAAAAAAAAGTCATCTCTGTGATAAGCCATAATGGAAAATATGAAAAAGAACATATATTTGTATAACTGAATCACTTTGCTGTACAGCAGAAATTAACACATTTTAAATCAACTATACTTCAGTAAAGTAAGTTTGAAAAATAAAAATTAAAAAAAGCAATTTTGAAATTAAAAAACATCATCTTAGTAGACTTATGTTTATCCTCTTCCATATTCATTTGTGACAGGTGGACAATTTCCTGATTTAATAATTTAAAATTTTCTTCTAAGATTCACAAAGTCACGTTAATATGTACCATTCAGATGGTGAAACAGGAATGTGGGGAAGTTTTTTAAAAAGAGAGGGAAAAGAGACAGTGATAGTCACTTAAATGATACTCCCTGGGAACCCCAGCTTGCCTTACATGAAGACATTTTGCATAAAGAGTAACAAGTCCAGACAGGATTCCAGCTCAGCAGTCTTATATTGTAGACCCAATGGAGTCAGCCTACCGGATGCTCTAGTGGAAAGAGCATGGACCCTGGGGCCTAAGGCTCTTCCTGGTTCTGCCACTTGCTGTGATCTTGGACACATCACAACATTTCAGAACCTGATCTGTCACATAGAAAATCAGGACAATAAAAAGATATCCTATCTACCTTATAGGACTGCTGTGTTTGAAGATCAAATGCTTTCAATATACCAGGCATAATGTCAATTGCTTTATATAATCCATCCAAAACACTATGAGGGAAAAATCCATGTCGCTGATGTGACTAGAACCACTAATTTGTAGGTTAACCTAAAAAGTTAATTACAGAATCATGAAAAAATTTTTGTATGTACTTCAGACACTTCTAACTTATAACAAATATATACCTATTCACTTCTGATGTAGGGTCAAGGCTTTTTCCCTGAATATGAGCCTATATTTTTGAGTCTCGTTTTTCTTTTAATAAATTTATTTATTTTTGGCTGCTTTGGGTCTTCGTTGCTGCGCGCGGGCTTTCTCTAGTTGCGGCGAGCGGGGTCTACTCTTCGTTGTGGTGCGTGGGCTTCTCATTGCGGTGGCTTCTCTTGTTGCAGAGCATGGGCCCCAGGCATGCGGGCTTCAGTAGTTGTGGCTTGTGGACTCTAGAGCGCAGGCTCAGTAGTTGTGGCGCACGGACTTAGTTGCTCCGCGGCACATGGGGTCTTCCCAGACCAGGGCTCAAACCCGTGTCCCCTACGTTGGCAGGCGGATTCTTAACCACTGCGCCACCAGCGAAGTCCCTTTTTTCTTTTTTTGTATACACTAAACCCATAATGTATCACCTCTCGTTTGTTTGATTCATCATGACTGCCTCATTCATTGCAAAGAACTCTGTTTTCCATGCATAGTTTATAGCAATAAAACAACAGAATCAAACATTTGCAACTCAAAGATTTCAAAGACTGCAAGAATTTAAACAGTTTTAAAAATTTATTTATTTAATCTTATTTTTTGGCCATGCCGCGCAGCATGCGGGATCACAGTTCCACAACCAGGGATTGAACCCGCGTGCCCTGCAGTGCAAGCATGGAGTCTTAACCACTGGACCGCCAGGGAAGTCCCTAAACAGAACTTGTGATGATGAAAATTCCATGTTTTGTGGCAATGCTTTCCTAAAATAAAATGTTGTGGGTTTTTTTTGTGGTATGCGGCCTCTCACTGTTGTGGCCTCTCCCGTTGCGGAGCACAGGCTCCGGACGCACAGGCTCAGCGGCCATGGCTCACGGGCCCAGCCGCTCCGCGGTATGTGGGATCCTCCCGGACCAGGGCACTAACCCGCGTCCCCTGCATCAACAGGCGGACTCTCAACCACTGCGCCACCAGGGAAGCCCTAAAATAAAATGTTTTTAAGACGAAAATGTATCACCTCTGATTTCCAGTTTTGGTTTCTTTAAAGTGAAGTATGAACTAAAACACTAAGAATGAATATGAGTACTGAATCTTTCTAAACTTTTATTACTTTTTTCAGTCTCTGTTATTTTACCCATATGTAAGTCAAAGCAATTATTTTTAGCAATTTGCTTTTATTGAGTCATTCCAAACCATTCAAATTAGTTTTCATGGACACAATTCTCTTTTTTGCATTCATATTTCATTAATTTACACAGTACTTAGTGTACATAATTAACAAGTAAAGTTATACAATTCCCTGGTAAGAGCTAAAGTGCATACGTGCGGCTGAGAGTGTCCAGTGTGCTGTGGGCAGCAGGCAGCAGGCTTTTCAGAGGGAACTAAGAGAATCTAGCTGAAGACTCAGATGAGTGATGTTGGATATGACAGTTTTAACTGGAGTGTTCATCCCATTTTCCAGACGAGGCCATTGGGGCTTAGAAAGTTAAGAGATTTGCCCATTTTTAATAAATGACTCATATGAAAAGCTCAAACAGATACAGGGAAAAGAAACCTAACACGTAAAGGTCAGAGAAAACCTTTAGGAGGAGGAGATGCTTGAGTTGAGCTGGAAGGAAACATGAGAAAATCAGGCAAATAAGAGGAAGAATATTTCAGGCAGAGAAAACAAAGGTAATAAAATCTAAAAATGTGAAAAATGCAGAATTTAAAAAATAAATTTGCTTGACTAGAGCCTAGGATGTATGCGAGACAGGGATGGGAGAAGGGTAGATCCTAGGGGTGGGAGAGGCTGGAGATGCAGACTAGGATGATTTTCTATGCTAAATAGTTTACATTTACTTACAGGTTACTGGGAGCCGGTGGACAACTTTCCTTGGAGGAGCAACACAAGTAGATTTATATTTTAGAAAGATTATTGACTTTACAGGATGGATGATGAGCCAGGAGAGACCAGAGTAAAGGAGACTAACTGGGAGGCTACTTCAGGGAAATTAAGGGGACAGAGATGAGGACATGAATGAGAAACTCAAAAAAGAAACTATTCCAGATAATCTGAAATTTCTGTAATCTGACTGTATACCTGGAGTGGGATGTATTTTAAAGAACCTCCCCCGACTCTCCCCCCCAAAAAACTTCAATTATTTTTAGTAATTATATTGTTGGTAGTAATGTTGGTATTGATATTCTGGAACTTTTGGGTGGATATTGTGGGATTATGCTAAAGACTAAGTATATGATATTCCATCATTTCTGGCAATGAAAACTGGAATTCTTAGCATGAGAATTAAAAGAGACACAGGTTAAAGAAATTAAGGAAAAACTCTGTAGCTCGGAATTTAAGAGGGGCATAGAGTACTGGTATAAACACATGATGCATTTTACCTTACAACAACAACAAAACGTATTACCTATCTTAGTCCACAAAAAGGGCCTAGAAACCTACTAACCCAGTCTCAACGAGCATCTTTATGCTCTGACTGCAGTCTCCAAATACCATTCCCCAGTAAAAATAATCAGGCCTCCTTGAAGAAAGTGTTGCCTTCTGGTCAGGCAGGAAATATGAGGTGGCCCTGGAACATCTTGTCACATCACTTAGCAAGGATGCCACCAATGAAAACTAGGGTCATGTCAAACAGTCCCAGGAGCCAGCTTAAAGAGCCTCTCACTGGCCAAAAATAAGACAATTTGAGCATCCGCAAGAAAAATAACTTCAGTGAACTGAAATGAATCAAGTATGTTTAAACCTATGAACTGCTAATCACACACATTGTTCACCCCTGGAGCATTAGAGTGAACAGCTCATTATTTTGAAAACCAGATAATCACGCATTTAGTCTGCCTTTCCTATAAAATTTAACACTGGGTAACCAAACGGTATATGAAGGGATGCTTCTACCTATAGAGGTATTTTTACCTAATAAATGAAGAGATAGTAGAGTATCATAATTTTTCAATCCCTAATTATTAGTAATTAGTGATTAGTGATTAGCAAAAGCTAACATTACAAAAAGAGACAACCAACAGTGTGTAAAACAGGCATGCAATCAGCAAATTTCAAACTGAGGGAAACCCTACAGGGGAAACAATGCAGTTTCTTCAACAAATAAATTACAAGGGGGGAAATGAAAGAGAGATGGTGGGGAACTAAAATGTGAGTGGACTGCAAACCAGCCAACATCAGCGTCACCCTGGAATTTGTTAGAAGTGCAAGTTCTCAAGCTACACTGCAGTCTTATCAGAAACTCTGCAGTAGGGCCCAGCAGTCTGTGTTTTAAGGCTTCTAGGTGATTCTGATGTATTCTAGTTTGAGAACCACGATAATAGATTAGAAGAGATTTACAACGCTTGTCAACCAACTGATTCAAAAAAAACTGTAAAAAATTCTGACATCTATAGACAATTATCCTATCAAGGAATTGTCAATTTTTTAAAGTGTGAAAATGGTATTGAGACATATATAGAGATATAGATATTCTTTAAAGCCCTGAAACGTTTATGAGTAAAAGATACAATGCCTAGGATTTGCTTTAGAATAATATAAGAGGAATAGAAGCAAGAAGGGGTAGACGTAAGATTGGCCATTAATTAATTGCTGAAGATGAATAATCAGTATCTGGGTGTTCTTTATACATCTTTTTAACTTTCATTTATTTTTGAGGTTTTTCCCCATTCTAAAAAGCTTTAAAACTCAAAGCAAGAAGTAAATTCAAAGAAAATAAAAGACTGTAACTTAAGCAGAATTAATCCAAAAAAGGAGAAGGTATATGGTGCTTTTACTTGTATTGAAGGGCAGGACTGAAATACACAATGTAAGTTTAAGTTATGTTGAAAAAACCCTACTACACACTAGCCTGTGACAAAATGGTTTTGATTTGGATGTAAGGGAAAATTCTGGATGCTCATCAACACATTGATGTCATTTTAAATTACTAAACAAACTGAAGAGAAGAATTTACAAATGAGAGAAGAGGAACCACAATCTGGTCAAAGGCATATGAGTACACTCGTTTGCTTTCCAGGTTTCAAACTGGCTTAGATTTTGAAGTCTTATCTGTTAATAAATTTAGGTTTACCTGCATTTTAAAAAAGTTTACTACTAAGTATATTATGAGCACAACCTGAGTAGCCTAATGTAAATATTAATAATGCTTGATTTTTTTTTTTAACTAGGACGGGGACAATCTATCCTTTACATAAGCTAAGTAGCCAAATCACGTGTTTTGAGAGCTGTTCAGAGGCTTCTCTGGCTTGAAATGTCATCTCCACTAATTCAGTGATGGTCTGGATTTAGAGTCATCCAAATGACTAGTCTTGAAAATTTTTCAGGGCAAGTAAATTAAAAAGCTAACTGTGAGGCTATAGTAGCCCTTAGTATCTCCTTGCATTTACATTCTTGTGATGTGATAGCTCTGTTTCCTCTGCATACATCCTTGCTATTGTGTCCTTTTAGGAATAGGGTGAATAGATGTTCTCTCTCCTCCTTCCTTCTCCTTTTTCACTTCTCCCTCTTATTTACCCTCTTCCACTGAAATATACTTTATGAAAACCTCAACATCCATTAGAAATCTGATTAGAAAGCACCAACTTCAAAACCTAAGAGGGCTGATGGGAGGATGAACTATATATTTTCACTTTACAAGGTAACGGCAGAATTTTGAGTGTGGTTTCTTCTCTCTTTATGCTTTATTTTAGATATTCCATCATTTTCTCATCATTGTTATCGTGATCATCATTTCCTTCTTTATCACCCTTTTAATTTTTATTTTGCCTGGAACAGTTAATGACATGGAGAAAAGACCATTAGAAGTTATCACTATCCATTATCAGGCATCTTTTCTGATAAAGGTAACCTTGCAATAGAGATTTCTGTTCCATTTCATCTGCTTTCAATGAGCTCCTGCTGTGCTCCCTCCCACCCATGTGATGGCTTTGAGGAAACAAGAACAACAACCAAAAAAGACAAAGCCTCAACTTTAGAGCTCATATATTCTAGCTGAGGAGATAAGGGAAAGAGATGGGAAGAGACTCACCACATGCTATACTGGGATGTTATAATACAACATAGCATTTGAGAGCCTGGACTACATGGCTTTAAACTGCTTGGGTTCGAATCCTAACTCTGCCACTCACTAGCTAAGGGATGCTGAGCAAGTTAGTTAACCTCTCTTGCCTCAGTTTCTTCATCTGTTAAATGAGGGCAAGAACAGTAATTAATTTGTGGGGTTGTCTTGAGATAATCCTTAAACTAGATAATCCATAAAATATTTAAATTTATCCATATATTTTATCAATTTCTGTGTTGACCATCGTTTCTTAGATCCCACAACTTCCCCCTGGTATTCTTTCCCGTCCCTGAAATGTATCCTTTAATAATTCAACTATCTTGGATTTTGTAGCTCTGAAAATATTTTCCCCAGTTTTGCTCCCAAACTTCTGGTTTAGTTGTACATAAAATTCTAGGTTGATAATTATTTTCTCCAGCTTTCAAAATATTATCCCACTGTCTTCTGGACTTGATGCCATTGAAAAGTTTGCTGTTGGTTTAACAGTTGTTACTTTGCAAATAATGTACCTTTCTCACTGGTAGAATACATGCATCTAAGGACACTACTGATAAAAGTAAACATTTAGTACTAGAGTTACCACTCCACATAAGATTTCTAATTCCATGGATTCGGGGGGAAAGATCATGGTATAAACATCCCCTCATCCTTTACAAAGGAGCAGGGCAGGAACCAAAGGCCACTGTGACTACAAGGAAGCTCTGCAAGATTAACCACAAATAACTATAACCTTGCCTCGAGGGGAGGACTGAGTGCCTTCCCAAGAATCCAACAGATTGTACTAGAGTATGAAGGAAACTGCTGAGGACCCTCATTTTTATACTCCTGTGAGTTATTACCTTCCTTTCCTCTCATGTTTTAGAATTCCTATAACAGGGCAACTCTGTATTTTGAGCATATGAAGCAAGTATGATAAAATATTACATTTAAACATTGCTCCAGGGTAGGGCGGACGGGCGAGAAAAAACAAAAACAGCATTGCCCCTTCCTCGCCAATGTTTACCCTTATGTTCAGATTACTAAAAATATGTATCTAGAAATATGGCAAAACAAAACACGTCTCTCCTTGTAGATGAAATAGCTAAAATTTTGGCCTCTTTTATTGATCTCAGGTCATATATTTGGGTTGAAAAAAACACACAACAAATTGTTCCAAATAAGAGTTACATAAACTAAATTTTTCTTCCAGATCTCTAAATGCTCATAGAGAGCCAACTTCCATGGTACATGGCACACAGCACATACTTGAAAGTTGATCCCACAGAAATATTTGTGTAAGCAAAATAAGAATTTGTTTCTCATCACATAAACATCACCTGTGCTTATCTAATCAAAACACTTGTTTAAAAAAAATTAATCTGTGACCAAAAGCACTATCATGTTTGTTGAGTGCCATTCTCATTCGAATCACATCCAAAAAAACCTAGAAATAACTCAAAATTAGAAAGTGGCCCAAGTGCTAAGGCTGCCTATGGCTCTTGCTACAAAATAGTTGCCGGTCTTATTTGAGTGTCTAAAAAGAATGACAGGAATTATAGGGTTCTTCTTAAATTCAAGAGAACTTCCCAGAAGGAGGTGGAGGGCCAAGAAATCCACCTGCCTGCTTGGTGGCGGCTCGTGAAGGGGCAAGGCCAAGGATCTTCTGGATGTTCTGTGAAGGAAACAGAATAAAAATTGGGTTTTAATGAGATATAGAGAAAAGTATTTAACATAGATCTCATATAAAGAGAAACCTTACAAATAAAAAGTACTAATATGACCTAAAACAGGATGATTACTACTTATTTTTTAAAAGGCCTACAATGTTATAGAGATCACAGAACAGTAAAAGGCCTCTTCCCTCATAGGATCTTGGTCTACTAACCAAAGAAGCTGATTTTTTCAAGTGGAGAATCATAAAAAGAGGTAATCTTTTATTTCAACACAAGTACATTGTGTACAATGTACACAAAGTACATTCATTAGCTATTTCGTGTAGGAAGGCTTTTTCTCTGAGTATGGGGCTTATAGCTGGATTTAGTCATTATTGCACCGTCTGAAGCTGAAACTGAAATGTTCAGTATCAGCTGAAACTGAAATATTCGGTATCAATGTCTTCAAAGAAGTGAGAGAATTCAGAATTTTGCAAAGTAATCTAAGTTCAGAATCCTCCTAGGTTTCTACACAACCCCTCATCTTTTCAGCTGTCTCACTTAAATCTAATTCAGTAGTTTTTTTTTTTAGAAACTCAACTTTATGAAACTAGTTCTCATAGAAAAGACTATTTTATACTCAGATTTCATCGGTTAATATAACATTAAATTAAATAACATAAATGCAACAATGAGTAAAACTAGCATAAACAGTTTAGGGATAAACACAATTGGCTCTTGGAAGGCAATGACTCAACTGGTGGGAGCAGACAGGTGGAGGAGTTCTAAAGAGCACAGGAGTGGCCATTGTGATGTGGGGATAAGGTGGTTTGCTTTAAAGAGGGAGGGAAGGGGTTCATGAATGTGGACAGGGTAAATAAGGTCAGTTAAGATATTGTACAGTACCTGTAAGTGGGAAAACCTTAAAGATCGTCTAATTATTTTTGCTCAAGTCTTTCATTTTATATTTGAGAAATTCCAATTAAAACTTGGAAGAGTAGGATGGCCTGTCCAAAATTACAAAGTTAAATGAAGAACAGAGTTAGAATTAAAACCCATGTTTTTGGATTCTTAATCTAATGGGTTCTCTTACATAGTACCTCCTCTATTAAAGTTCTGTTCTTCAGAACAAACTCTAACCCAGGGTAGGCAGGTTAGCTTGTATGCATTCATTCATTCAACAGTTACTGAGTACCTAATGTGCATAAGGCACTATGAGAATATCTATATCTAGGCTCCTCTGAAGTATACACTCCCCAATACTTTATCATTAAGAATAATTGCTACTGAGAGGGCAGACAGCAGAAGCAAGAAGAACTACAGTTCTGCAGCCTGTGGAAGGAAAACCACATTCACAAAAAGATAGACAAAATGAAAAGGCAGAGGACTTTGTACCAGATGAAGGAACAAGATAAAACCCCAGAAAAACAACTAAATGAAGTGGAGATAGGCAACCTTCCAGAAAAAGAATTCAGAATAATGATAGTGAAGATGATCCAGGACCTCGGAAAAAGAATGGAGGCAACGATCGAGAAGATGCAAGAAATGTTTAACAAAGACCTAGAAGAATTAAAGACAAAAAAACAGAGATGAACAATAAATAACTGAAATGAAAAATACACTAGAAGGAATCAATAGCAGAATAACTGAGGCAGAAGAATGGATATGTGACCTGGAAGACAGAATGGTGGAATTCACTGCCACAGAACAGAATAAAGAAAAAAGAATGGAAAGAAATGAAGACAGCCTAAGAGACCTCTGGGACAACATTAAATGCAACAACATTCGCATTATAGGGGTCCCAGAAGAAGAAGAGAGAGAGAAAGGACCCGAGAAAATATCTGAAGAGATATAGTTGAAAACTTCCCTAACATGGGAAAGGAAATAGCCACCCAAGTCCAGGAAGCGCAAAGAGCCCCAGGCAGGATAAACCCAAGGAGAAACACGCTGAGACACATAGTAATAATACTGACAAAAATTAAAGACAAAGAAAAATTACTGAAAGCAACAAGGGAAAAACAACAAATAACATACAAGGGAACTCCCATAAGGTTAACAGTTGATTTCTCAGCAGAAACTCTACAAGCCAGAAGGGAGTGGCATGATGTATTTAAAGTGATGAAAGGGAAGAACCTACAACCAAGATTACTCTACCCAGCAAGGATCTCATTCAGATTCTACGGAGAAATCAAAAGCTTTACAGGCAAGAAAAAGCTAAGAGAATTCAGCAACATGAAACAAGCCCTACAACAAATGTTAAAGGAACTTCTTTAGGTGGGAAACACAAGAGAGGAAAAGGACCTACAAAAACAAACCCATAACAATTAAGAAAATGGTAATAGGAACATACATATCAATAATTACCTTAAACGTGAATGGATTAAATGCTCCAACCAAAAGACACAGGCTCGCTGAATGGATACCAAAACAAGACCCATATATATGCTGTCTACAACAGACCCACTTCAGACCTAGGGACACATACAGACTGAAAGTGACGGAATGGAAAAAGATATTCCATGCAAATGGAAATCAAAATAAAGCTGGAGTAGCAATACTCATATCAGATAAAACAGACTTTAAAATAAAGAATGCTACAAGAGACAAGGAAGGACACAACATAATGATCAAGGGATCAATCCAAGAAGATATAACAATTATAAATATATATGCACCCAACATAGGAGCACCTCAATACATAAGGCAACTGCTAACAGCTCTAAAAGAGGAAATCGACAGTAACACAGTAATAGTGGGGGACTTTAACACCTCACTTCCACCAATGGACAGATCATCCAGACAGAAAATTAATAAGGAAACACAAGCTTTAAATGACACAATAGACCAGATAGATTTAATTGATATTTATAAGACATCCCATCCAGAAACAGCAGATTACACTTTCTTCTCAAGGGCACATGGAACAGTTCTTCTCCAGAAGAGATCACAAGTTGGGTCACAAATCAAGCCTCAGTAAATTTAAGAAAACTGAAATCACATGAAGCATCTTTTCTGACCACAGTACTATGAGACTAGAAATCAATTACAGGGAAAAAAACATAAAAAACACAAACACAGGGAGGCTAAACAATATGTTACTAAATAGCCAAGAGATCACTGAGGAAATCAAACAGGAAATCAAAAAACACCTAGAGACAAATGACAATGAAAACACAACGATCCAAAACCTATGGGATGCAGCAAAAGCAGTTCTAAGAGGGAAGTTTATAGCAATACAAGCCTTCCTCAAGAAACAAGAAAAATCTCAAACAATCTAACCTTACACCTAAAGGAACTAGAGAAAGAAGAACAAACAAAACCCAATGTTAGTAGAAGAAAAGAATTCATAAAGATGAGAGCAGAAATAAATGAAATAGAAACAAAGAAAACAATAGCAAAGATCAATAAAACTAAAAGATGGTTCTTTGAGAAGATAAACAAAATTGATAAACCTTTAGCCAGACTCATCAAGAAAAAGAGGGAGAGGACTCAAATCAATAAAATTAGAAATGAAAAAGGAGAAGTTACAACGGACACCGCAGAAATACAAAGCATCATGAGAGACTACTACAAGCAACTCTATGCCAATAAAATGGACAACCTGGAAGAAATGGAGAAATTCTTAGAAAGCTATAACCTTCCAAGACTGAACCAGGAAGAAATAGAAAATATGAACAGACCAATCACAAGTAATGAAACTGAAACTGTGATTAAAAATATTCCAACAAAGTCCAGGACCAGATGGCTTCACAGATGAATTCTATCAAACATTTAGAGAAGAGCTAACACCTATCCTTCTCAAACTCTTCCACAATATTGCAGAGGAAGGAACACTCCCAAACTCATTCTATGAGGCCACCATCACCCTGATACCAAAACCAGACAAAGATACTACAAAAAAAGAAAATTACAGACCAATATCACTGATGATAAATCCAATATCACTGATGATAATCCATGATGAAAAATCCTCAACAAAATACTAGCAAACAGAATCCAACAACACATTAAAAGGATCATACACCATGATGAAGTGGGATTTATCCCAGGGATGCAAGGATTCTTCAATATATGCAAATCAATCAGTGTGATACACATTAACAAACTGAAGAATAAAAACCATGTGATCATCTCAATAGATGCAGAAAAAGCTTTTGACAAAATTCAACACCCATTTATGATAAAAATTCTCCAGAAAGTGGGCATAGAGGGAAACTACCTCAACATAATAAAGGCCATATAGGACAAACCGAAGGATATACAATGGAGAAAGACAGTCTCTTCAATAAGTGGTGCTGGGAAACCTGGACAGCTACATGGAAAAGAATGAAATTAGAACACTCCCTAACACCATGCACAAAAATAAACTCAAAATTGATTAGAGACCTAAATGTAAGACTGGACACTATAAAACTCTCAGAGGAAAATATAGGAAGAACACTCTTTGACATAAATCACAGCAAGATCTTTTTTGATCCACCTCCTAGAGTAATGGAAATAAAAACAAAAATAAACAAATAGGACCTAATGAAACTTCAAAGCTTTTGCACAGCAAAGGAAACTACAAACAAGATGGAAAGACAACCCTCAGGATGGGAGAAAATATTTTCAAACAAAGCAACAGACAAAGAATTAATCTCCAAAATATATAAACAGCTCATGCAGCTCAATATTAAAAAAACAAAGAACCCAATCAAAAAATGGGCAAAAGACCTAAATAGACATTTCTCCAAAGAAGACATGCAGATGGCCAAGAAGCACATGAAAAGCTGCTCAACATCACTAATTATTAGAGCAATGCAAATCAAAACTACAATGAGGTATCACCTCACACCAGTTAGAACGGGCATCATCAGAAAATCTACAAACAACAAATGCTGGAGAGGGTGTGGAGAAAAGGGAACCCTCTTGCACTGTTGGTGGGAATGTAAATCGATATAGTCACTATGGCAAACAGTATGGAGGTTCCTTAAAAAACTGAAAGTAGAACTACCATAGGACCCAGCAATCCCACTACTGG